TGTCTTTCTTTTCCTTCATTTTTCATTTGTTTCCCAATTGACCAGGAGGTGCTAAGAGACTAAGCCACAGTGCGTAATGAGGACTCTGCCGCCTTTGACAGTTCTAGCAAGAGGCAGTTTACATTGTGTGCAGCAAAAGGCAAAAACTTGCAAGAGGAAAACCTCATGTTCTACAACAACAACAAAAACAAAAGAAAGAGCTGTAGAACAGTTACTGATAGAGTAAAAGAATTTGAGAACATAAGTCTAGCAAAGGGCATAAAGTGCCGAAAAAGTATGCACTATTATTCCCAACGGGGACGTGCAGTCATCAATCAATCCTTGCCCAGCTCACGTTTTAAATACTCGTACTCATCCGTACATAAGGCCAAAGACGTTTTGCTGGCGCACTTGTTTCCCCTAGCCCTAATCTCAAAAGCCTTATGTAGTTCGCATGACACCTTGTATTTTGCAAAAATTTGTGTGCTGTTGAATGACGGGGTGCAAGAGCATCTGCTGCAATGAACGTCTAGATGCCCTGACGGTGTCGTCTTAGTGGATGCTGCGTGTTCACTGGCCCAATCATTCACACATCTGCAATGTACCAACTGGCCCATCTAAGCCCATTAATAAGTCTAACACACAGAAACATAAATATGAAGCATAAACATAACTCATGAAAAATATGATCAGAACGCTACAGCTACATATATGTCAGTGCCCACCAAAAGCACCCTCAATTTCTTTTATTGATTTGAAGGGCTATCGAAGCACATCAGACCTTCAATATTACTGAGGAGTTTTGGCTATTGTGAAGTCTTTTGCTGACTTTATACAATTTGTGCGTAATTGGGAAGTTGTTTGAATGTGCGTTTATAAATGTCATCTGGCAGAATTTGTGCATTATTTGCAATAACTTAAAACAATAAATTTGGCTAACCTCTCGTTGGCCATGTTGCTGGAAGGTGGGTTTATGGAGAGGTCTTGAGGCCTGCCCTTATAGTTCTCAAATATCCATTGTATTTGTTTTTGTGAAATGAGCAGCTTATTTCAATTTGTTGATGTCATGCTACTGTAATAGCCATTCTCATGTAATACGCCCTGCAAGCCATAGGATCATGGCTGACGCCGCCTCATTGATTCGCAGGAATTGTCTCTCAGCCCTTCTTTATTTCTGCAACCACTTTTCAGGCGGTTCCTAGCAATTCCTGGCGATTGCTTCATTGGTGTGCCCCATAAAAGGGCAGCTGAAGGAATAGAAAGCAGGAGCGTTAGTGAAACCTCAACAAAGCTAACACCCAAGATACAGCCTCAGAATGTTGAGTTTGCAGGACAGATTTCGTAACCGCCAGGTAACTCCTCTTTCATAACGCGTTTATGGTCGTGCAAGCTTTTGCAATGGCTTTACTCGCTCGTGATGTTGATGCCCTTTGCCTTTTGTTTCATCAAGGCTGTAAATGAAAAACCCTGCAACCACCAGTGAACACTACACAATGAGCCTTGTGTTGTTTTTAAACACTTCGCAAAATCGAAATTTACAATGTGGTTATGGTGTCGATGACAACAACCTCACCGCTTGGGCGAACTTTCTATTGTGGCACCCTAAACGTAAAAGAAATGTGGGGTTTTAGTGAATTTTTCAACCGCAGAATTAAGCTTGTCTTGCATCAGAATCGTCCACCTAAAAATAAACACTTGCATTGGCGGATCTTTGCCGCTGCATATTGACACTTTCTGCCCCTTTTTGGAAAGCCCAGTAGCTGGTGCGGCCTTTTGGAACGTGCACTATGGGAGCTTGATGCAAACTTTCTCTCCTGGCTTGAACTGGCTGACCTTGGCTCCCCGGCGGGTCCGTGTATGCTTTGGACTTCCATTGGTACTGCGCCATATGCTCTCGTAGGCTTGCAAGACGTCTTGCCGGGTTCCTCAAGAAGTCTCTGGATGGTCCCCCGACAATGGCCAGTTTCGTCTTGGGGTGGCGTCCGTGCAGCAGGAAAGCTGGCTTCTCACCATTGGCTGTGCGAGGAGTGCATCGATAGACACCCAGGCACTCTACCACAGCTTCCTTCAGGGGCCGTTGCTCCTGGGCACTGAGTTGCACAAAGTCCTTGAATACACGTTTAAAATGCTCAATTCGGCCGTTGCTTTGAGAATAATACACAGAGGAAAAGGTGTTTTTCACTCCCCGATCTTTCAAGAATACTTCAAACTCGGCAGACATGAACTAACGATTGTGATCGCTGACAAGTTCGGCTGGGTAGCCCTCATGAATAAACACCGGCCATAAAAAAGAAACAATACTTCCCGACCTCACTCTTCATCAGGCACACCTCCGGACACTTAATGAATTCGTCAATTAACATAATGGCATACCAGTGATCATTTGGAGCACATGACAAAGGTCCCACAATCTTGATGCCAAGTTTCTCCCATGGAGCAGCAGCACACACGTAGTGTTGAAACACTTTAATGCCTGACCATTGATTTTGAGGGGCGAACAAGCGATGGCCTCGATTCCAAGTATGTTTGTGTCTTTCGATAGGACGTAGAAATGCACGTCAGCGTTTCACTCCTTGTAACCAACCACGGCAACAAAACAACCTGTCACTGCAATATTCCGCTGCGAAAAATCAAACAAATTAACAGCCAATTCCTGTAGCCGAAGCGAAGAATCAGAATTCTTCTGATATGTATCTTCAGAGATTATCGAAACTGCTGACCCGGTGTAAACCAAAATATATAACACCGTTTCCTCGACATGAAGGGAAATGGAGATACTGCTTTTCGTGTACCTGTGGAATACTGAGGACGGAATCCTCGCAGCTATCCAAGCAGCCAACTTCTCTGATGGCGCGGACTTCATTAATGTGGACGGCGGTACTCATGCAGACCGCATGAAAATGCCAGAATTTTCCAAATGCAGTGCACGTTTTCCTTCTTGTCTTGCATGTACCGAAATTCGCAAGATGTCCCGACGACCCAGAATGGTAGAACTTCTTTCCAGAGGGGGCGGAGGCTCACCTTCCCGTGGTTGATCGGCGCTCCGCATAGGCTTAGCGTCTACCTACTGCATTTCTGAAGCTGATACAAGTTCCTTGGAGTAGCGTATTGTTTCTTCGACCAAACAACCGATGGCCAATGCAAGGTCCGGGGTGAGACAAGTACCCTCCAGAAGCAGCCGCTCTCGTAGCTGGTGGATCGACGTATTTGCAACTAGCTGGTCTTGGATGAGGTCGTCCACCATGGCTACAAACTCGCAGTCGACGACAGGTCCCGTAGTTCAGCAAAAAATGTGTCAATGGATTCCCCAGGTAGCTGCACTCGCTGCCCGAAGCGATGTCGTGCGTCGGACACGTTTCAAGTTGCCGCAAAGTAGCTCCCCAGGACTGCCAGAGTGATATCGTACTTGTCCAGTGCAGTGGGTGTCTTTTGGACTTCAGGGCCCGTTTGCCCGAAGCGCTTACCAACAGCGCGAATACAACACTTCCATCAAACGCGCGCGTCCGCTCCGAGTGTGAACAGGCATTTACGTGGCTCTTGCTGACACTCTCGTAGTTCAAAAGTATCTTTTTTAACGTCGGCTCGCTCCTGCATCTCCGAGGCCGCAAAAAACGCCGCGTCCATTTGTCTCTATCTATGGCGCTTTGCAAACGACTGACACGGGCCGCCTTTTACCAACATGACAGTCGGGTTGACTTCTGGAGCCCTCACCGGAAAACTCGCCGCACTTCCCAACAGGCATACCGGCGTCTGAGACTAGTCCCATGCTGTCGCTGTAGCGCAACGTATCTAATTAAATCTCGCTCAGCTGCGATGTGTCCATGGCTATCGCGGCGATGAGAGGCGCTGGTTCAGAAAATACAGGGTGATTCAAGGAGACGCCAGGCTCTTTAAATCGACCACAAAATTCGGTTTCTTAACCTATCGCGCTACGACTTTGTGCAGCGTTGCCCACAGATGGTGCTTTTTTTTTTTTGTGAAATTTGCGAAGAGCGAACTTACCTGAGGTAAAGGTAAAGAAAGAAAAAAGCTTAACTCCTATGGAAACGCAGCGATGCCAACGGCCAACATACTTTTTTGTTTTAAACCAACGTTACTAAAACACTCGGTTGGGAAACTCCCATAGAGACAGCTTTGAAAAAGTGGCCCCAATCTGTCACCGAGCACCGAGCTAATGACGAACACAACGCCACCATTTCTCCCGCAGCGGTCACTCGAGGAACTGCACGTGACTTCAGCGCAAGAGGTTTATTTCGCCGAGGCACTGTGCTGTTCGGAGATTCGTGTGCTGCAGCGCGACAGGGATCTTACTTGATCACAGCTGTATAGGGCCCGAGTGTTTGCCTTAAAATGCATGCGCTCATGTTCCTTGACAATGCCTAGGCACTTCAGTTATAGCCGTTTCTTCAATCAATCAATCAATCGAGTTTATTGTCATGAGTTGCAGCAGACAAATTATTGAGAACCATCTGGGCCCATTGCCTTTTGGCTAGTTTGGGCCCATTTTAATAATAACATATTAGGATTTAATAATAACATATTAAGAAATATTACTGGAAATACAATAAAAGGAAAAGAAAAGAATAAAAAAAAAGAAACAAAGACACCAGAAAAGAAAGTTACTTGTTTAACTACAGCAAGTAATTTATACATTGTATAATAACGACACGCATAAGAAGCACGAGTGTATTCAAAGTGAAATAAATTATATTGTGAATTCAGTAAGAGAATATGCGATTGAGTTTCAGGATGGCGGGAGACATGTTCTATTAAGAAAAATATAGTATTTTAAAGCGCTGTTAAAGTTGCATGAATTGGTGACTGGAGATGGTAAAGTGTTCCAGATTTTAGTTCCGCACGATTGCATCAGTCGCTCGCCGTTTACGTTACGAGACTGTGGTATGTTAAAGTGACCAGATGTGTTCGCCCTTGTTAATCGAGTACCCTTAATTAAGATGTTCACTGGCAGTGGATTGTTTGATTTTAAAATATTATTTATTAAGCAAGCAATCTTATATTGTTTAATTTCCAGAAATGTGAAAATGTGAAGTCGATGAAATATGATATGTGACGGTTGGGAATAGTGGGAGTATGTCAAGATTCTGAGGGCTCTCTTCTGTAATTTGATCAATGGCAAATGGTAAGTGATAAGTTATGCCCCAGGCCTCAATACAATATGTTAAATGACTATGAAATATAGCAAAATATACAGGTTTCATTGTGGGAGTGTCAAAGCATTGTCTCGCCTTCAGCAAAGCATAACAAGCGTACGTTAACTTTTAGAGCGCAGCTCTTAGGGGCCCGTTCCCGGCTTGAGCGGCGTCGGCGTCGCCGTCGGCGTCGGCGTCGGCGTAACCAAGGTCATCGCAAGGTCACGTGGCCCCCAAGGTCATCCCAAGGTCACGTGACCCCAAGGTCACCCCAAGGTCACGTGACCCCTCCCCCAGGATCACATGACCCCCAAGGTCACGTGACACTCAAAGTCACGTGACCCCCTGAAGTCACGTGACCCCCCGAGGTCACGTGACCCGCCCCCCCCCCCAAAGTCACGTGACACCACCAGGTCACGTGACCACCCCCAGGGTCACGTGACCCCCGCCGAGGTCACGTGACCTCCCCGATGACGTCATCGGATCCGCATCGTCATCGTCATCATCACTGATGACGTCATCAGTGACGTCACTGATGACGTCATCAGTGATGATGACGATGACGATGCGGATGCCGGTGAGGTCATCAGTGACGTCACTGATGACGTCATCAGTGATGATGACGATGACGATGCGGATGCCGGTGACGTCATCAGTGACGTCACTGATGACGTCATCAGTGATGATGACGATGACGATGCGGATGCCGGTGACGTCATCAGTGACGATGACGTCATCGGGGAGGTCACGTGACCTCGGCGGGGGTCACGTGACCCTGGGGGTGGTCACGTGACCTGGGGGTGTCACGTGACTTCGGGGGGCATCCGCATCGTCATCGTCATCATCACAGATGACGTCATCAGTGACGTCACTGATGACGTCATCGGAGTCCGCATCGTCATCGTCACTGATGACGTCATCAGTGACGTCACTGATGACATCATCGGCATCGTCACGTGACCCCCCCCCCCAGGTCACTTCACCCCCCAGTACCCTTCTGGTGCAGAAGTGCCGATAGCATATGCGTCACGAACATTGGGGCGAAGTGAGCGTAATTACGCTCACTTCGCCCCAATGTTCGTGACGCATATGCTATCGGCACTTCTGCACCATCATCGTCCTTGTGAGAAAGAACTGCACCAACACCAACCGGTGAAGCGTCACACGACAAGACCAGTGGACGGGCTGGGTCGTAGCGTACTAACACTGCGTCGGAGCTGAGAAGCCCTTTTAGGTTCCGGTACGCTTTCTCATGCTCCCGCGTCCACGCCCATTTTCTTCCTTGGTCTAGAAGGCGGTGCAATGGCTCAGCAACTTCAGCTTTCCCTTCAAGAAATCTGCTGTAAAAATTGACAAGTCCCAAAAAAGCTTGTAATTCTTTTTTGTTCTTTGGGCTCGGCGCACTCTTGATTGCAGTCACTTTTTCTTCACTTGGGTGAATGCCAGTAGAATCAACTCTGTGACCCAAATACTCTATACTTGTTTTACCGAACTCGCATTTGTCTTTGTTTACCCGCAAACGCGAGTCTTGCAACCGCTGCATGACTGCTCTTAGTCTTTCATCATGCTCTGCCACGGTCGAGCCCGAGACAACGATATCGTCAAGATATACGACGACTCCAGGTATACCTGACAGTAAGCTGTCTACTACACGCTGAAACAATCCTGGTGCGACTGATATACCGAAAGGAAGTCGGCGAACTTTCTACAGCCCTTTCAACGTATTCACGGTGAGGACTTCTGATGACTCGTCGTCAAGTACGAGCTGCTGATAGGCCTGGGTTAGGTCTAGTTTCGTAAATATCTTACTGGACCCTAGAGTGGCAAACAACTCGGTGACAGTCGGTAGTGGATAGACGTTGCTCTTAACCGCCTTGTTGATTGTGCTACGATAATCTCCGCACAGGCGTAAAGTTCCGTTTTTCTTTCTCACCACGACGAGCGGTGTGGCCCAGTCGGAGTACTGGGTCGGCTCCAGGATGCCTTGCTTCTCCAGGCGATCTAACTCCTTGCTCACATCCTCTCGAAGGGCGAACGGCACTGGCCGACTCTTTAAAAACTTGGGTTGCACGTCGTTGAGCTCGATGTGGATCGGAGCTCCCTTGAATCCGGGCAAATCGGTGCGAAAAACCTCGGAAAACCGCGCTGTTAGCGCTTCGTCGGACGTGCTGAGGTGTCGGATGCCGTGTAACTCGATACCTAGTGGTCGAAACCAATTTCGTCCATCAAGCTTCTTCCGTGCTGTGCCACAACCATGATTGGCAAAACAGCCTTGCGTCCTTTAAACATGACGCTCACCATTGCTTTGCCAAGTGTAGGCAATGTCTGCTTTGACCAGGTTAACAACTTGGTGGGTGTGCTCTCGATGGGAATCAGTCTCTGGTCTATCTGGCGAAACGTTTCTTCGCTCATGATAGAGCAAGACGCTCCAGAGTCAACTTCCATGATTATTTCTTGTGACTCTATCTTTACTGGCACTAGAAACTTTTCTTCGGTTTCGTGCACCTCGCAGATCGAACAGAGTTCGTCTACTTCGTAAACGCTGTCTCCCTTTTTTGTGTGTTTTCCTTTCTTTGATGTGGCTGCCTTACTGTGGCATGCCTTTGCTATATGCCCCTTCTTCTGGCATTTGTAGCAGACGGAGTCTTTAAATTTGCACATGAAAGGTTTGTGCTTACCGGTGCAACGGTAGCAGTTTTCGCTGTCTGGTTGCTTCTGAGGTTTCATAGTTGTCGCTTGAATTTCACCATCAGAGTCAACTTTGCCGCTGTGTTGCCGTTGCTTCCTGATGTCTCGCTGTTGCTGTGACGTTGCCTCTGCAGTGACGGCCAAGTCGTAGGCTACGTCGAACGTCAAGTTCCGTTCAGCCAAAAGCCGTTGCTGCACTCTCTCGGGCGCGATGCCGCAGACGAACCTGTCTCGCATCATGATTTCAAGTGGCAGTTGTCTATCTCCGAAACCGCAGTCTTCTGCCAGCTTTCGGAGCGCTGTCACGTAGTCTGCAACTGTCTCGCCGGCGTGCTGGTCGCGCTTGTAGAACAGGAACCTTGCGTAGAGTTCCGACGGCCTGGGGTGCAGATGAGCCTTGACCGCTGTCACTATCGTGGTATAGTCTGCTGCTGTCGGTCTCGTCGGCTTCACCAAGGTTACGATTAAGGAGTACGTTTCTTCTCCGCAGCAACTCAGCAGGACGGCACGCTTCTGCTCAGGCGTTGTCAGACTGTTGGCTACGCAGTACATTTTGAGTCGTTCTACGTACTCGTCCCAGGAAGCGTTGGTGCTGAGGCGATACTCGCTGATACCGCCCACAGCCATCCTTTAGGTCCGGACAACGGATGCTTGCCCGTTGTCTTCGTCCGCTTCGTCGCCAATTGTTGTGGCTTATGCAAGCCGAGTCATGACGGCAACATACATCTTTAATGGAGACAGGCGTTCTTCAGTGACCATGGCTGGTTGCCGATGATCGAACCACACAAGCGCGGGGGCAGCTCGCGCACCTCAGAGTTCACGCGCCGGTCACGCCTGCCGGTCATGCAACCGCGGCATTGTTGCACTATATTACACCTTCCCTCCTCCTCATCAAGAGCTGCGCTCTAATTCGGTGTTACAGGGAGTTGTAAACGGCTTTCACTTTTTTACATGTGTTTATAATGTGCTGTTGCCAATGAAGATGAAAATCTAATGTTACTCCCAGATATTTAAATGAACTAACTTCTTCCAGGATTGAATTACCGGTGCAAATTTGGAAACCGTCGGTATTAACATCTTTTTTATTTGAACGAAAAACTATATACTTAGTTTTATTTATATTTAAAGTCAATTTGTTAGAATTAAACCACTCCTGAAGAACTATTAGTTCTTGATTGATAGTGTTTGGTAGCAGCATGGTTTAGTCAGCTTGGGTTACCCTTGCCGAGTAACCGAGTAAGAGAACTGAGCACTTTGTCGACTGCTCAGTTCCGTATTGTGTGTCTAAAGCTTGCTTTCCTTTGTTTCTTTTTGTGTATATTTTACAGGTACGGGCCTGGGGCTCTCGGCAGAGCCTGACTGCTAGAGAACGTGCTTCCTGCTTAGTGGATAGGAGTTGTTTATCACAATGGAGATCCATCTTTATCGAGCATCATGGGTGTACGCACTGTGGCCAAGAAATGGTTGCCTTCACTAAAAGTTAACAGTGCGGGAAATGTTTGCCGCACAACAAATGAACCGGCACTCCATTTTGGTAGACTTGGTGCTTGCACCCGCAAACGAACAGGCATGCAAGTTCTGCTACAAGTCTTGCCGCGACGTCATTGTGATCCCCGCTTGCAAAAGAAAACTTTGTGCTCCCCCCCCCCCTCCCTCTTCACCCAAAACCGGCTCAGAATAAAGACCTTTCCATACAGTTACTTTCTCGTTTGTTTACTTTCCCTTTACTTTTCGGTGCTTGTAATGATGGAAGTGCCAGATTTTTTAGAAGCTAGAAAACTGCCGCATGGAACCACTCCGCGCGGTGTCGCTGGAGCTAAACTTCAAAAAATATTTTCTCCTTAAAAAAAACATTACTTCGTCTAAATTTTATAAATCACAAGTTCATATGGCGCTCTATCGCTTAAGTGGTCTGGCATATTTTTACTTGGACCACCTCACTGCGAAATTTGCGGTTTAATTTAGACCAAAATGCTGTTTTACGCAACTTTAAGCTTTAATATAACAAAAACCTTTTTGATAACGGTAGCAAGCTATTTCATACAAAACGTATATCTACAATAGAAGCGGAAAACACTCCAAGTACGGGTATACAGACTCCCAAATTTAAACAAAAAAATCCCGAAAACGGCACAAATTCAGCATTTGTCGTCAATTAAAAACAAACAAAAAACAACTATATTATTTAAAATCGGCTTCATATTAAGCAATAATCCAAGTAAAATCGGACCGAAAAAATTGTGCGTTGATAACTAAAGATCTGTACGTTTGGCATTTCTTTTTTTAGTTGTGCCTAGTTTCGGGCCTATTCGGGAATTTCAAGCAGCGCTCGGGCGGCCAAAATATTTTTGTGTACGAAAATATTTAGGCAAGTGACTATTCAGCACATAAAATTTTTTTTTTTTTTTTTTTTTTTTTTTTTTTTTAAGGAATCGGCGATGGTCGAGCGTCACGCCTGGGACGTTTCTCGTGGAATGACCCTGCTATTATTAGTTGGACCAAACTGCAGGCCTAGGCAGCAATTGTTCAAAAAAATCACCCGATCTTCCTTTTCTGCGACCAAACACCCGCGGAAAGGACGAAAAAACAAAAATGACAAGCAGAAGTTAACAAAACCACGTGTCACAATTGGAAAAGAAGGGAAACATCGCGACGGGTTTGGACAAAAGACGGGCAAAGTTCTAATTTAGCCACTCTCGCTGCACACAACCTTTAAAAAAGAAGAAGAAAAAAACAGCAATGTCATTGTCTTTTGCGGTGGTCTGCGAGAAATTCTTCAGGAAAAGTACCCCTCAGGGGGAACCTCACACCCCTTTTGGTGATGCAAGCACTCGCGCGTACAGATGGTTTACGCCGGCGTGGGTACGCATTGTATAGGCTCGTGTATGTGCGTGTTTGTGGTGAGAAGCGATTGTATGATGGCAGCGCCGCCGGAGACAAAAAGGAACGCCGCGCCGCTGGTCCTCTGGACGAGCATTCGCTGCACACACCAAACCGTACAAAAGCATACACCCACACACACATGCTTCATTCAGCATCTGTTTATCCCAGGCACGTAGCCAGGATTTTGTTTCGGGGGGGAGGGGGGCGCCCATGACAAAATGTTGTATAAGGGGGAGGGGGGAGAGGAGGCCCCAGCAAAATGGAAGACAAGGGGAAGCCCATGCCTAAAAAAAGGAAAAAAAGTAATGGCTGGTCTGGCCCGCATTGGACCCCCTTGTAGGCTTGAATGCACGGCCCGTACCCCGTGGCCCGCGGTCTGGCCCGTACCGGTGCAGATCTCTACCTGCGACACTGATAGGGTGTCCACTTTCCTGCTAGCGAAATGCGGGACACACGGAACAGGGAGGGAGGGAGAGGGAGAGGATTCCGAGTCAAGAGGTCCAACGCGTCAAGAGGTCCAACGAGTCAAGAGGTCCAATATTGGACCTCTTGACGCGTTGGACCTCTTGACGTGTTGGACCTCCTGACGCGTTGGACCTCGTGACTCGCCGTGGATCTTTTGACTCGTTGGACCTCTTGACGCGTTGGACCTCTTGACCCATATTGGATCTCTTGACTCGTGCCTCGATGTGTCAAGAGGTCCAACGCTTCAAGAGGTCCAATATTGGATAGCTTGACTCGTTGCATCTCTTTGTGTGAAATATGTACAGGCAAGGGGTGTGAAATAAGTACAGGCAAAAAATGAGAAAAAAAAATTATGAGGGCACCTAAGCTTTCTCTTACGATGTGAGAATGCGCGAGCACTAGCTTTTCCCGAGTTGTGCTGCCGCAACGGATAGCGCGCTAGTTGCGCGATCAAGAGGGCCTAGGTTTGAAAGCAGGCAAGGAAGGGTTTCGTACTCACGTAACCAGGGAGGTCACGTGACCAGGTTTTTTTTTTTTTTTTGTTAAAGTGACCAGATACCTTTCTTTTTTTTTTTGGTCACATGACCAGATTGGTCACGTGACCGGAGAAATCACGTGACCAGGGAGATCACGTGACCAAAGATATCACGCAACCTGAGTTTTTTTTTATTATTATTATGTTGGATTGTGTTGGACAAGTCACAGATTTTGACGACGGATTCTGCCGACGGCTTTTTCGCTGACTGAGCCAGGTAATGCTCACGCATTAAAAAAGCAGACAACAGAGATGCTGACAATAAAGGCGGAGAAGAAAAATGTCGGAAAAAGAGCAAAAAGTCGAGCTGTGAAGACTTCCACACGGCAGGGGGGATCTCACGAACACGGCTTTGATGAATCGTTTCTGGCCTGTGATGTAATCAGTGCTCGTGCGTATAACCCGTGATTTGCTTCGTTTCTAAAGCGACAGATACGCGCGCGCTGGGCTGTGGGGATCGCATGCTGGGCACTGGATTTGTAAACACCAGAAATCATTGTTGTTATAAACTGTCAAGCTTATAGCAACATTCGGTTGTCGGGGACCTGTGTGCCTTCTCTCTTCTACCCCTGACCACAAAGTCGTGAATCTGCATCTCCTGTGTTGCTCTCCCCCTCGAATATCGAACACGCAACCGGAAAGGTTTTAACATTTCACAATTTGAGAAGCCTTTTTTTTTTTTTTTAAGAAGTGACTACTTTGACATCCGGGTTCGAAATAATTGTAAAACCATTTTGAACACATGTTCTGTCACATACGAAACATATGTCCATATTTATTTGCTATTTCGACGTCTACCATCACATTAAAGCACTATTACGGCGTTTGACGTCAGAATAAATGAACATAGTTTTTTTTTCTTAATTTCTGTGTCATTATTTTTAAAAGTTGTAGTAATTAATATAATTTGTTCACGTCCCTTCAAAATAGCTTCATTGATATTTTGCTTGGTCTTCGAGGAGCTTGAAGAGACAGTTTGGCCTGGCGCAGATGGCGTGTAAAGTTACTCATTTTTCCGTTCGCCGTGGCCTAATTTAACTATAGCACACGACAGACTAGATCTAACTGCTTCAAAGATCTACGTGCTTTCCGGCACGAACAATTCTTCAATCGACTTCAGTCTTTATAATCCAATTTTATAAAAAGTATTGAGCAACTAACCCACCATCTTACAATTCCAACCGACTAACACATCGAGTAATTTTAACTAGAAATAAATGATATTGACAGACAAGTGTTCGGTAATTCGTGTCAAGAATGCTTAATCATGAAACGTTCAGTTTCATGATTTATTTCACAGCATTCTCAAAAATAAAGAGCAGTAAAGGAGTTCTATATAGCTAGCATAAATATTTGTGGCTGCTCCGTGCTTTTGAGTAAGCCAACGGCCCAAATTAACCCGCTATAGCTTGCACCGGTCACAACGTTTCAAGGAGACAATGCTCGCATTCATTTGCAACACTCTATTGGACGCCAAGTGATATAATCTGGGCTCGTTTATAGACGCCCTCCAATGATATTTGAGCTTCTTTCTATGTTGTGTTATTTACCTCTTCAGTGATTCGGTGAACTCAGTGAATAAAAACTAAAGCATAAAATAGTAGTGCATCATATTTTTAATAGAACATACGAGAACCCGGGACTGGACAAAGTTACACAAGGAAGTATTTGCGATTACAAATACTGAGATACATGAAAGGGAAGGCTAAACGCGAGATGGCTGAGGTACATTTGTAGTTTATATCTCGGAAATTTAAGAGACACTTCCGTAGAAATGGCATAACTGAGTCCTAGAACAGAGAGACTGGAACACAGATATTAAGTTCTACAAGTCCAAAATATGTCACCTGGCACTATCCATTATTTAACACTCAAATACATACCTTCTGGCAAATAGTATCTGTCTACTTTTCTCCAATGGCTATGTAGTACTTGTATTGTCCAAAATAATTCAAATAGTTCAAAGAGTCAGAAACCGTCACAAGCAGTCCCCCCCCCCCCCATTAATAGCAATATCATTATAAACAGAGAAGATAAAAAGAAGGCTCGATGGACCTCTTGACGCGTTGGACCTCTTGACGCGTTGGACCTCTTGACGCGTTGGACCTCTTGACTCGATGGACCTCTTGACGCGTTGGAACTCTTGACACAAATTGGACCTTTTGACTCGTTGGACATTTGATGCGTTGGACCTCTTGACTCGGCTGTCACGTGGCTATTGGACCTCTTGACTCGTTGGACCTTTTGAGTCGTTGGACCTCTTGACCATAAGCGAGGGAGAGGGGGAGGGGGGGGTTAGAGGAAATTTGTGAACA